GGTTTTCATCTCTGCCAAGGACAAATACAAGACCAAATTATCGCCGGTGTAACGAAACTGAGGATCCGTATAACAGAAAGTCCGCCCTCCATGTAGTTACAATGGTTAAGTAGGGCGAGGCTTACCTGCAGAAATAAATGGGCAGTGGACTCTCTGTCAAGTGGGGGGGGGAGGGGGGTCTATCACGTTACACCGTTGGTAGTCCTAAGGATGGAAGTACGGGGTCCATACGAAAAGTACAGGTTAGGGTTAGGCGTTGTATTGGGGTAAGTATATGGGACGAATGCCACCTACACAAAGTAATAGGGAACGGACTACGGTTCCTAGCGGATTACCATTCCTGTCACACCGGCAATTATGTTGGCTATACATGCAACGGATATTAATGTACCGTAATATGGCGGCCCTTATGTAATCGAGCCGTCCGGTAACGTCACGTCAGCAAATCTATTCATAGTCTAAGTAAATTGTCAAAGATACCAGATTTAGAGTTCCCACTGATGGCAAAAATTTACAAAGACATGCCCGAAAATATGTTGTTGTTTTTTTTAATATCTGCACTAAATTTTGATACTAGATCAGCGTTGAAGAAACCCCCTGGTCTGAGAAGGCCAATGTGAAATTAGGAATGAAATTGCATCATGTTGTTAAAACAAACGATCGCGATTGATACATGTAAGTTCCCGAGCGTGACGTTCATGACCACAGTATTGTTTCACGAAAAACTGTTTTTATTCCCCAATCTCATGCCCAACGTGTCTATCAATTAAGTATGAATGCAAACCCCAGTGGGGCATGCTTTTGGATTATTGCCTCCATAATATGTCGGACATTCTTCAATAACGATGGGATTTTATAAATTATTCAAACAAGCCCCATATATCAAAAGGTTGAAGAAAGTAGCGGATGATATTCATTGATGTCGGGATGTTTTTGGTTCGATTATATGTCAAGGTGGAGAGTTGCTGCTTTAAATGGGAAATCTCGTTTCGTGGAAACACTGAATAGCGTGTCGACTCAGACAAAATGAGTATTTAACAAATTAATCTTTTATCCCGCGGGTGAATGCTGCCGAGTTTGCTCTTAAACAGCTTATCAGTGGGTTTAAAACCATGCAAAGGTTTTACAAAGTGTTCTTTTATAGAGTTTCGATAAAAGATACAATGTATGCGAAACAAAATACATGTTATAGTAATAAACTGGTTTTAATGGAAAAGCATAGTAAATATAAAATTTATCTTCTCTGTCGCCCTTATGAGTTTAGTTATAATGTACTATCATTTTTTATGTAATGTCAGATTTGGGGTGTCTTGAGCAAAGGAAGCTTTTTATAATCGCATCAATCAAATACACAAACACGTCCTTGTCCTTCTCACTTGTCTATTACATAACCTGGTTGGAAAATAAATTATTATGACAATGGCACCCAAGTGTGAAGGTACAGGTAGTTAATGAGAAAGCCCAGGCACTTCTGAACAGGCACATCTGTTCACTTATTCATTTCCGAGAATACCATACATATTTTAATGAGGTTCTGATCTAGGGATTGAGCTGGTCACTGGGGGGGTCTGGATTTGGTTCGCATATAACCAGCCAACTGATGCGTGGAGTAGCATTACCATGCTGAAACATAAATGAATGATCAAGGTCATGGGTATTCTTAGTATTCCTGAAGATTCCTTTAGAGTACTTGGATGCAATGGTCTGTGTTAAGGTTCCAGTTGACCATTGCCAGCTCGCTTACTCCACTGTAGCCAATACACCCTATGTATGACGTATGTGGGGTGCGTCCTTTCGACCAGAGGCGTAAAATTGCGAAGATACTTCCTACCAGCTGTTCTCCAAACCCGTACGCGTCCATAACTTTTGGCAACTCTGAGCTTGATTGCTTCTGAGAACAATATAAATGCCCAGTTATGGGCTGGTGTCCAGGCCAGAGTTCCGGTACAGCATCCAGCTCGAAGTAGACGGTTCCTGGCGAGGATCCCTGGTCTCCTAACAGAAATCCTGCCAACATAACGGCGACTGTGTAGACGTCTTCTGGCGGTAAGCTCTTGGTGTGCCCTGTTCTTTTGAAATGTTGCAGTCTACTTCCTTAATGTCATGAAACATTTTCTACGAAGATTGCGTATTTACATTCTCTTTTCTCTGGGCGTGGTTTCCGTTGGTTTGCCTTACCCAGGCAATTTTGCCCATCTGCCTGTTTGGGTATAACGTTGTCTATCCCTCTGAATGGTTCTCTTGGAGCCACCCAGCCTTCTGGGAATTAGGCGAACCAAAACTCCCTCCTATGTCAATCGCATGGTAAAAATGTATCTCTCTCGCTCATATTAAAAAGTAATTGGTGTTGGGGCATTTTAATGGTTACGCTAGGTAGGTTAAACTCACACTCACACTCACATCCCGAAGTTACACAATGATGGGTTGCCTAGTTGTTATGTAATAGTGAAATTAAAACTATGGGTAGCCTTGTAGCAATGTACATAATTGCTGAAGGGGCGACGGTTTTTGGTAGAGAGCGTGCATGTGCATATACACTGATGGTAGTCCGAACAATGGCAATGAAAGCAAAATAACTGTACTGTCAACCTCACCGAGTCCTGCAAACTCTAGATAACAGACATTACAACAAAAACGGCAACAAGGTGACTTATTGTCAAAGCAATTAACCTTATGTAGTTTATCCATAAAATGTTTTATTTTTATTATTATTATTTTTTTTTTTTTATTATTATTATTTTTTTTTTGGTATGAGAACCCATGGATCTTATGGTATAAGGTTAAAACAATTGCGAAATTGCAAATAGCAGACTTTTAAAAAATACCACAGGGGCAGCTGTTACAAAAATATCAACGTTAATTTGCTGTTCGACATTTTCATGGGTTGTCCTACTTTCGTCTTAAGTAATATAATCTTTGACGTTGTTTATAACAGTCAAGGCCGAAGGATTTTACGAATTATTGAGGATTGGATAGAGGAAAGCGGATTGGAGAGGCTAAACCCTTGACTTATACGCTTGGCATGTCTGATATTACATAAACAAACCTCTGATCCCAATCGTATGTGTCGATAGCTAGTGCCCTTGACATTTTTACAGCCTTGAGGTGACACACCTTAGAACGCTGTTATGGTCACTGCTTAGCTAAGGAGGTACTTAAACTCGCTGACCGACAACTAACAAAGTGTGAAATAATCAACTGATTGCGTTAAAAGCTTTGGCGATTTGAAAATTTGAAATACCTTGGGAGATTTGAAAAAAGGGCCCTATTGAATATTTCGAAAACCGTGTCAAAAAACAACAGTGCAAAACATTTGGCAAGTGGCCGTTGGGGCATTCCTCAAGGTGACAATCTTGTGCATCACAAATTTTGTGTAATATATTTGCACAATTAATTTTCATCATTTTATACAATAGAAGCTTTCAATATGGAAAGGAATCTACAGATCTTTTTGAAAAGTGTCCGAAAACAGTTGTAATAGATTGTAAACCAAAAGCGTGCGTCAATGAAATGGCTCAAATGTTCACTATGATTATGACTGTTTTGGTGGCATCTTATACTAGTACGTCTTTGAGAAACTGCAATAATCAAAGCCTGTGAAATAACGTAATAATAGAATGGAATAGTGCTAAAATGGTATAACTGGTTAGATACATTGAACTGTTCATTGATATGTGAGCAGACGCCACATTTTTATAGCACGTTTGACTGGTTACATACAATTATTATGTTTATAATTTTATGAGAGAACAGTTTCATTAAAAAAGAAAAACAGTAATTTGAATTTATAATTTTATATTATAAAATGCCAGATACATTGAACAGACCAAGAGAAGCTCTACCTGGAATCATAACGGTTAGCTAATTCTGAGCCAGTGAAATATGGAATGGTAATATTCTAGATGCACATGACAATGTCACTCAAAACACAGTAATAAATCACTTCAAAACATTTCAGACGCTTCCTTCGATTACGGAGCTTTCCACCGGAATATTTCTATTTGATCTCATTTCTGATTTATTCGTTTTCTCCATCAATGGAACAAGAAACAATCAATAATGTGTTTTTCATTTCGCTTAAGTGTGCGTTGTGTGCGTTTCGATTAAGCTCGGTCCCTAATTAATCATAAATGCCGCGGTAAAACAAGCGTTAAAGCAAGTATATGAAAAGTGAGCCACACGATCTCTGATGCGAATACTCCTAACGATTGCCATTGTCAAGGAACGTGGAAAAGATTAAGCCAAATATTCGATGTGTTCAATTATATTTTTGATGGATAAAGTTTTTGCTAATCACAACACTAGCAACGACAAAAACTGACAAACTTCACAGACTTTGTTAACAATATAAATGAGTGTACGTGAATATATACCGATACTTGTACAATGTATATCAAGCATTTTCCAAAGTTCTTATATTTCCACAATACCATGCTGACATACTTTCTACCCAGGATCCTTTTAGATGTTACAAAATTGTCTGAAGGGCGCCAACCAATTCTGCAACAGCTTCATGTAGATGGGTCTCTTATAGATAGAAACATAAACGTACGTTTTAAGACCTTTTTCTTTTCTTGTCAGAAATCGTAACTGCATCACCAACACAACTAGAAATAATAATAATAATTATTATTATTATTATTATTATTATTTATTTGAAGTCTAAAGGCCAAAAATTTGGCCGCCTTGCATAAGAACCAAAGCACGATAGCCAATCGGACGGTTTACATTCACGAGATGTCTGTTATGTCTGTGCATCGCGTCTGGCTATTTTAGGTGTCACTAATCCCTCAGAAAATACTTACGCCTAATCTAATTGCACCATTTATCGAACTTTATGTCTTCATCAGTTTCTGAGAAATTGAACAGGGATTTCAGCCCAAAAGTACCGTGTGTTAAGTTAAATCCTTAATTGGCTTATTTTTGTCACGATTTCCTGGTATATGCATATTGCTACATGAAGATAAGTATTTGTTTTCTTTCTTTCATTTTTATTTCAGAAACCGATCTCGTATTTAAAGAGTGAGAACTTTATGATGCACGGATATGTTAGAAAAAATACATCTACTTTGATCTGTCAATCCAAGAATAATCAGGTAGGAAGTTTATTGTCTCAAACAGCATGTTTCAGAATTAAAGAGATAATTTTAATACATCTACATGCTATTCACTTTCACTTGCCAAATTGCATATGGTTAGCGGCGTTACGTGACATAAAAATCATTGCTATACGAGACAGGAGATCACGAGACGAGAGTTCCGCACGAATACCGGAGACTTTCATTTAAATTATCTATCATGCTACCCGTTCTATGGTGACAAGTATCTTGACGAGGAAAAAGTCACGTATTTCAGCTTATGTCATCACTGATTTTGGAGACCATTAGCGGTATTTTGGTATTGAAAGCATTACTGTGGACTCTAAAAAGTAGTTACGTATATCTGCCACTAATACCTGATCATCTGGATGTGGTTTTACGGCATTTAATACGGCGATTTTTTTATTGCAGCTAAGTCAATATTTTGTAGGAATTAGAAAGGTTATTCACTGTAACTAGGGCGATATTATTTAGTTACTAAGGTGTGTTGTGTTGTATATTTTGTCCTCGATATATTGGTGACCTTTGACCTAGATGACAGGAAAGTCAGTCCGCTGGGAACCGGTATCTGTGTCCCGTTTCTTTGTTCATATTGGATTTGTCCCATATACTGACCCCGATGCTGTGGCGAACCCTAACCTTTCCTCAGCACATGGAAGCCCGGACTTCCATTTTTAGGACTACCATACCTGTCACAAAGTTTCACAAATATGCTTAAATACAAGTTGTTCTTGCATGTGTCCATAACAAAAAACTTGCCAGGCACATGTACATGTATATAGGTATGTTTAAGACGTAAAATTGGTTTATGTAACTATCTCGAATCTATCTCAGTTCAGCGGGTCCTGTTACAAAACTGATTGCTCCATGGTGGATTACATATGCAGCTTAATCTGTAATATTCACAAACAGTGGTGTTGCGTTGGCTTAAAGAGATGATACGCTAAAATACTTAATTATGACGCACGTTGGGTGCTTTCCATGCCTTACAAAGCATTGGTATTAGGGTATTTGCTTAAGCGCATTTTCAGGTGGGTCAAGTTGACCTACGTTAAAAGTCGGACATTTTAGTACACTTGTGAAGATTCTTTTGTCTATAGCTACATATATTTGTCTGATCTTACAATTTTAGTGGTTTTATAAGACAGGTTATTGTAGGCAAACATGCCATGTTATAACCTGTTGACTTGTGAAAAATTGGTCATGGTATTGTTATACCATTTAGACATTAGGGATACGAGCTGGAATGTATGCATTGAGCATGTAAACGGCCCTGGCTTCCATTTCTACGATTACCATTCCTGTCAGATTGGTTTCACAAATATGCTTAAAACACAAGTTGTTCTTGCATGTATCTATAAGAACAACTTGTTATATACATGTATATTGTACATGTACATTATAGCAACTGTATGGTGGAAAAAAAGTCACTGGTTGAGGGTACCGTATAAAAATTGTACGTGAAATTTTGCGGGAACATCCAAACTGTGGAACATGTTCTGTATCGCCGCCCGTTCAAAGCCGGCTTAAGATAGAAATTCACCAACATGGAGTTCAGATCAGTTACAGCTTTTGGGGCAAACAAATTTACCCGTGATATATGTAAATATTGTTATCTATCCAATTCAATTTTGACTGCTTTACTTGCTGAAAGTGAATATATGTTTTCTTCATTTCTTGTGCTTCTGCTCACAATTCACAACAAATAAAATGCCTATGTATCTATAGTATATGGGTACATGTGATGTTTAACACGTGCAACCGGTTAATGTAACTTATGTAAGTATCTTAATCCTAAATCGGGTCAATGAGTCTTGTTACAAAACTGACCGTTCACTGGTGGATTACACACAGCTTATACTGTTACCCTCAGAAACTGTGGCTTAAAGAGATGACACGCTTTACTTGGGTGTTTTCGGTTCCTTATAAAACATTGGTATTTGGGTTGTTGCTTGAACACATATGTAAATTTCCAGGTGGGTCAATTTGACCGGCTATATAAATCGAACAATTGATTGGGTTATGTAAGACAGATAATTAGAGGCATACATACTATGTTATAACCATTCTGTTCACGTGTGGAAAACCGTCACAGTATTTTAATACCATTTAAACACTTGCAAATATTTAACATTGTACTACTTTTGGAG